CAGTTGACATTTCACCATTTTTGAAACGGGAAAACCACTCAAACACTTGAGTTTTCCCCATAGCATCATCCTTGTACGCTGTTTTTAACATTTCAAGAGTTTCTGTTCCACTTTTCCCGAGCAAAAATTAGAATTTCACCGCCGCACGCTGTTCACGAAAATCAGCCATTGCAAAAATGACGATCACACAAAACAGTTGTCACTATAAACTCTGCTGAAACTAGTCCTTACCTTCTGAAGCAATGGTAGTCGGCTTATTGACTCAGGAATGTTAGCTCTATGCGCTCATAGCGGCACAACGCGGTACTACAAAAGCTCTCCCAACAAAAAAATTAGTTTGGTTTCTTTTGGGTACCCCATCGTATACACGGTGCCAAATCCCAGAAGACTGCTTTCTTCATAGTCATCGCCGTGAAAGCCTCAAATCGTACAAGTCTTTTACAGACTGTCTACATTAGCCAGTGTTAAGGTATTGGGAATATTTGGACCTAAATAGCATATTTCACATAAGTTTTTCTGATTTCTTAATGGGTTGCACTGGTTTCTGCAGAACCATGCAGCTTGCTAGTCACCATGTGGCCATTCCTAGCATTTGGGTTGTACTTGTCATTGACTCATTTTCATGGGTTTAGAATATTCTCATCTGCAGTCTAATTCATGTTCTTACTGAAAGTCTACTATCAATCTAATTGACAAGAAGTCAGTCTTATTGAATATCTTCCATTCTTTACATGTACGTTAGTAAGTCATTTCATATCTTGTGACTTCCAGGGAAGGTGGCACAGAACTCATCCAGTTGATGCATGAACATTCACAAGATAGTTCACGTGACTCGACTCAAGGGGGTGTGATGACCGAACTAGCAAGCTTAGTCCAAGGCTCAGAATTTCAGCACAATTCTCCACATGAGATCCATGATTGTCGCCCTTATATTAGAAACTTTCAGGCTCACAGGTAAATTGCAGCATTATATAACGTTTTCTGAAACTCCGCTTCTTCATCAAAGCAAGTCTGCTTCTTTAATAAAGTCCTCCATTTGAAACTTTTTCTCCAAAGTTTGATATTCATGTTCCTTCACCGTTCCACATCTTTCTTCATTAACCCCAAACATCAGTTTCAGTGTCTTAAAAATGGTATCATTTGTGACGCTTCTTAGTCCGATTTTTCCTGCTCTGTTTTGTAACTGTCCATTTCCTTTATGTAGCTGAACACCCCCAGTTCTTTTCGTAGTGTGGCATATTTTTCTCCTAATTCTTCTATAATAACCATGTTCTTTGTTACTTCAATCCTTATTTTGTGTCTTGTTTTTCCTAGTGTTCTTGTCCTCTTAAGAATTTGAATACTGCTTTCTGATGTTGACTCACAAGGTACCACTTTGCTTCTGAGAAAGTTGTAGTATTCTTTCAGTTTTTATGTAGAAATTACAATTGAACATCTGATTCATCCATATTGTATCCCATAATGTGTATGTAAGATGCTACAGCGATTTTTTAACTTTTTCTGGAATTATTTTGGCATTTGAAAGATTACATTTACTTAATTTTCTTTTGCATTGTTTATTGTGTATAACTACATTCAGTTTTATGATCTGTTTTTGGGTGTTCTTCAGACAAATATTTCCTATTATCCGGTCACTGTAAATTAAAACCGGATGTATGCAATCTCACATGTTTCACTAACAGTTCTATTATTTCTTGGAGCAGAGCATATATAGTGAGTTTTAAGGGACATCTCCCCTGATAATAATTAAATAAATAAATAAATACAGTTTTTATACTCATAATTATACTTCCTGAAATTGTATATCAACATTATAATGTAATGTTTTACACAGCTCGTGTGTGTAGGTCTGTTCATGTAAAGTAATATAGAAGCTTGCGAGAGAACAGCTCTACTCCATGCAGGAAGAGATGGCTCATTCATCAGAAGTGGTGAAACATAAAAGTTATAAAATAGCAGTTAAAAGCAGGTCATTTTGAATGTGTTTCTAAGGCGAGGGCACACCAAGGAAACTGGCAAGCAGTTGCACTGGAGCAGTGCAAATTGAGGAAACTACATTGCCGTTTCCTGAATTTGCGCTGCTTCATGCTCAACTGAGGCTGATAACAGTTCTTGGAAATTGTGGTTGTATTGTGGTTGCCACTTTCCTTGGTGTGCCCTCACCCTAAAAGTTTCCAGTAAAGTATCCATTAGTATCCAGAATAGGAAATAACAAAACTAGTGAAGAGCACTGTAATCCTACAAGACTAGTGTTTGAGTTCACTGATATTTCTCTGTCGAATAATATTGTCATGTGTTGGGTATGTCATGCGACAGATAACTTCACGTGGGTCTCGGATTTAACAAATCTTTATTGAACACTCATTCTTATACACCGTACAATTATTATCACTTGACTTCTGGCCCAATACTCCAATACTCAACTTCCATTCGAGGCCAGGTACTTTGTATAAGCTGTATGCTGACTCAATAGAGGACACCCCTCACCAAGTTTTGATCCCATGTGTTCGGCAAGCCGTTGCTTTGGGAATGCTCCTTATAGAATACACTGGTAACGTGTTTTGTCTCATCCGTTGTTACTCAACGACAATTCGTTGCTACGATTTGTCGCTGCGGGAACTCTCCAGTTTCCATGTATTCGTTGTCATGGAAGTGTCCGTTCCGATTGTAGCGGTTGTCACAGCGACGGACGTAAGATAACGCGTCACCTTGCTCCCTTCTAAAGGTTCATCCCTGAACAGCCTAACGGTACTTCTTTGGTTTCATTTCCTAAGGTGTTCATCTTCCGAGTGTTACTTCCGCCCCTCTTCTTCGTGGGTGCTCGTCCCGAGCAGCTCCATAGGGCGCGAACCAGTCCAGGTGTACTACCAACATCTTTGACCTAGGGTTCTTCTGGATTCTGTATACTATGTCATTTATTCGGTTGATTACCTTGTAAGGGCCTTCCCAGGAGGATTGAAGTTTCAGTGATTTCCCTTTTTTGCGGGCTGGGTGGTAGAGCCACACTGTCATCCTCGTGGAACCCTGCAGAGTTGGCTAGTTTGTCATACCGAGTTTTCATTCGGACACTGGCGAGTTTCAGGTGTTGCTGGGCATAATTGTGGATGTCGTGTAGATGATCCACCAAGTCTGCTGCATAGTCGGTTGTGGGTAGTTCCTTGTGTGGGGGTACTCCAAACAACAGATCGCAGGGCAGTTGGAGTTCTCATCTGAACACTAGGTTAGCTGGGGTCAAGCCCATAGTGTTGTGAGTGGATGCCCTGTAGGCTAGGAGGAAGAGGGATAACCTCTCATCCCAGTCCCTCTGGTGGGATGCGACAACCTTCTGTAAATGCTCCTCGATGGTTGTAATGTAGTGTTCCGCCATGCCGTCCGACTGTGGGCGCATGTTGCGCATCTTGCTCACTCCCAGGCGTTGCAAAACTTCTTGTAGCAGACGAGATTTGAAGTTACAGCCTTGGTCACTATGCAACTCTCGAGGTATGCCAAAGTGGCAGAAGTTGGTGACCAGTACTTCCGCTATTGTCGACGCCTTCTGGTTTGGGATGGTGTAGGCTTCCGGCCATTTTGTGAAATAGTCCATTGCAATCAAGAGATATCAGTTTCCATGTTCACTTAGCAGGAAAGGTCCGGGTACATCAATTGCTATCCTTTCGAACAGGGCCCCGACATTGTATTGGTGCATTTGCCCCCTATTCCTGGTCCTTGGGCCATGACTGGCTGCATGGGCGTTGCACTGTCAGCACCATTTTTTGATGTCTCTCCTTGCTTGGAGCCAGTAGTACTGCTGCCGAACCTTATTTAGGGTTTTATTGGCCCCTAAGTGGCCTCCTTACGGTCCACTGTGTAGGTCGGTCAGCACGTCCTTCACTCTGCTCCGAGGAATAATTATCTGAGGTACTTGATATTGTCCACTGGCAGATTCCCAGTTGTGCTCTGGAATGCTGTTTCTTACAGTGAGCGATTTCCACTGAGCCCAGTAGCTTTTGTATGTAGGACTCCGGTCTGCAATATCTTTCCACTCAGGTCGTTGTCCGGTTTCTACTTCCTGTAGAATAGGCCCTGTGTCTGGGTCATTTAACTGTTCCTCTCTTAAGGCAACCGGGTCCCAGCTGGGTGTGGGTAGGGTTGCAATAGCTCTTATTTGCTTTAAGTCTGCACTTATTTTGACTTTGTGGCAGTGCTTGCACTGCTCTTGGCAGGGTCGCCTTGAACGGGCATCGGCATTATTGTGTTTCCAGCCTTGGCGGTGCTCTGAGGTAAAGTTATACTCTTGTAGGCACTGTATCCAACGTACAGTTTGTCCTTCTAGGTTCTTGAAGCTCATTAGCCAGGTTAGCGTAGAGTGGTCCGTGCGCAGAACTAACTGTTGCCCATACAGGTACTTTTGGAAATGTTCCAGTGTCCTCACTATGGCGAGTAGTTCTCGTCGGGTGACGCAGTAGTTTCTCTCTGCTTTGTTTTAGCATTTTGCTGAAGTAAGCTATGACATGCTCTTGTCCGTCCTGTATCTGAGAGAGTACTCCTCCAATTCCGACTTTGCTGTCCAGAATAAAACATTTATGGACACTTAAGAGAGGTGAGGTGCAATTGGTTCGGCTACTAGGAACCGGAACCTAGCACTTTGATAACAGAACTTATGGGGCAATGTGCATTCTGCTTGGATGGTGGCAGATGTTTCTTTCAATCCTGAGCTTCAATATAAATCGCACCTAGACACAGGTGAGGGCTCTGTGTCAGAAGTCAGACACAGGGACACTCCGATCCCTGCTTGAGAGGCAGTGCGCACACACAGACACTTGGCTGCAGCAGTCACACCAGCGTCTCTAAGGACCCAACTCTGTTAAACAGAAACCACCAGATCCTTTTCCGTCCCATCTCACACTGCTCGATTTCTGTCTTGTGATGATAAACCAGCGTGCATATGAAATACACAAAACTTTGACATCTTTTTTTTATATACACAAAGGTTGCACTTGAAAAGTTACAAAGTAATTCCACTTAATTGTTACATTTACTATGACTTGTGGCTTCCAGAATATTCTGCAGAAGTTCCTGTGATATACATTAACCATTGAAAACAATATTATATCACCTGATGTGTGAATTGGGCAGACAAACAAATCCTGTAGGTCCTAGAAAACAGAGTGAAAAACAAGTTACAATACATCACATTCAGAAAGTTTGGAAAAAATTAATCCACTATCTAGCAGCTGATATAGCAATCCAAGTTACATTCTTATTAAGCTCTCATAATGGTACAGAATTTGTGTTGAATAAGTTGTGACAGTGGGCATGTGTGAACAGTGTTTCGCTCTTCATCTGACAGTTCTGCAAGGATACACCAGTCACTGCAGTCGAGCATGGAAGGATGACACTTTATATCCAGCTTGAACAGTAAATGGGATTAAGATTTCTTAAAGCATTATTGTCTTCCTTTGATTATAAATTGACCTTCATTACCCACTCTAATGCATTGAGTAGAGATCTGTTGAAATTATGTATCTAGCCTCATGAAAGACCAAGAAGAGAATGGGTGGATAACATTAAGATGGTTCTGAGAGAAACAAGTTAGGAGTGTATAAACTGTGTAACCCTGGAATGTATATAGTGGCAGCATTGACCCTTTAGATTTTGTTACCAGTTGGTTGTGTCTACCAGTGTCCATGATTCTCATGGTTACTTAGAGATCTCTATTATGGGAGGCTTTGTTGAAATTGTGATATAATTCTTCCAGATTCTGTAAATTAACTGTTAGCAACTTCATGTATAGTTTCTACTTCATAACTCCTTTATTCTGTTACAGTGCTGTTTTGTACTGATATGGAATACAATTCTCTATGCTTGCAGGGAATTGATGGATGAAATGATGAGCGGAGAAGAAGGTAGTTATTCGTCTCGAATGAGTAACAAGTCTGAGAAGAACATGGCTGATTTTGATGGGGAAGAATCAGGCTGTGATGATGAACTGGTGCAGCTGGCTGCTCAGGTACGCTAGTTTCTGCCATCAGAGCATCTCAGTGGTTTTACGCTAGTTTCTGCCATCAGAGCATCTCAGTGGTTTTACGCTAGTTTCTGCCATCAGAGCATCTCAGTGGTTTTACACTAGTTTCTGCCATCAGAGCATCTCAGTGGTTTTACACTAGTTTCTGCCATCAGAGCATCTCAGTGGTTTTACTATTTTTTTATCATGCAAGACACAAGCTCTTAGTCTTTCTCATTCTTGCACATTCTTGCTGTTTTTCAAAACACAGTGTTTAGGAGACTGGATTCTGTTCCCGTTCTCAGGTAAAACGTACTCAGTTGGGTCCAATAGATAGAGCTAGCCCCTATCTCCAGACACCTATGCCAGTTTCAGATGGGGTTCATAATCCAAGCACAGCACAAACCATCTGTGAGAGCTAAGAAAATATTCAACTATTGAAGCCCCACCCATATGTTTTGGACTTCATCCATGATCTGGTATGTAAAAGACAAAAGACCACAATGTTTTGGAGACTACATCTGTCTCCGTCCTCAGGTGGGTAGGGCAGGATAAACCTACTCAGTTGGGCCCATTAGAAAGAGGTAGTCTCAATCACTGGACAAACCCTGGTCTGTAGGAAACAACATTTTGATTTGTTAACCTCTTCATTGAAGAGGGGAATCCATACGGGAGAAATATCCAAACTGGGTTTGCTGATCAGATTGGGTGAACATGCCATGTGAGCCGATTCTTTGTACTTTCTGTATCTGCAGTTACTTTCAACCTCCAAGACCCTAGCTATGTCCCAGCTTACCCTATGACCTTCTTCATATGCATACTGAGCCAATCTGGATTTCTCTAGAAGGCCCTGCTTGAGATTGTGCCTGTGTTCATGGATTCGCACGGCTAGCGGTCTGCCTCTTTCACCAATGTAGCTTCTGCCACATTCACAGGGAATGCTATAGACACACTGTGCCATCTGTTGAGAATCCCTTTTTGGATTCGTTCCCACGAGCGAAGATCGTAAAGTGTGTTTAGCTTTGAAGACGGTCCTAATATTATACTGGTTCCCTATGCCCTTGAAGTTCTCAGAGATGCCCTTGACATACGGGATATAAACCGTGCCAAGAAGCTTTTCCTCGTTTCTTTTGACAACTACTACCCTTGGACCTGATAACCGAGTCAATAAAGCCTTGAGAATAACCACTCAGTTGAAGGTGGCGTTTCAGATTGTTAACCTCCAACACCCGGTCTTGCCGGTCTTGGCATATAGTGGTAGCTCTATCATGAAGACTGAACAATTCCTCTTTTGACATGCGGGGGAGGAAATGGACGTTGTGGAGAGGTCGGCCCCCTCCAAAGCAGAGAAAGAGGCTGCATACGGAGTGAGAGCCGGATATGGGATAGCACCGGCCACTCCAGTAGTTACAACCCCCACTGATGAGAGGGGGAAAGGGGAAAGAAAGAACTTTGGATGATGGAGATACACCTGGATCTACTGGCACCTTAGCAGTGAACCACTCGAGGTGAGCTCGCCTTAAGGACCGAGCAGTAGTAGTGGCTGGAGAATAGTTGCTACAAGAGAAGGAACCAAACCACAAGAAGACTTTGCAAGCACAGCCCTCAGAAGAAAAGGAACGGTGATGCACCATAGGCTATTTGGGACAAACAGCCTTAAGGAAGGAGAATTGTGGCATATTTACACCATGCAAGAACTGTTGAACCACAGAAATCTGTAAACACAGCGATTATGTGACAATAAGGAAAGGGGTGTTTTCTCCATGCTGTGCCAAGGTGCACCACACTCATTGCTAGGCAGCCCTGCAGTAAACACATCTCGGCAGCAGCTAATGAATGCATTGCTGGTGTGGTTCAGTGAGATTTTTATAGCTCCTGTATTATAAATTACATGAAGACTGGTGAGGTAGACTGAAGAGATTAGTGTGGAGTGATAATAGGTTATGTAAATCGGTAACATTATTATAAATGTTAATGTATCCAATTACCATTCCAAATCCCATCTCTAGTCACTAACACACATGACAATACTGTAAGGCAAACACATGCATGGCAACAGCTTGGTAACCCACACGACCTAGAATTGGTTCTAGTCAATAACGTAAGAAAGGAAGAACAGCATTACAGTGGTAGCAGAGTCCGTCACAACAGCCTGTACACCTGATGATGGCTGCTTAGGCCGAAACATGTTGTGATATACAGTAAAGAGAAGATGAGATAATATTAACCATCATTGCACAGACAACATAAAGGGGAACGCAAAGTCAGATCTACACAGTGCAACAGGATGTTGAATGTTGTTGCTGTTTGCATAAGAAACAGTCATAAGGGCAATTAGAAGGCAAAAAGTTCTGCTGTAAAATGAGGACAGTTATGTCTAGAAAGTGCAGGAGTTCATTTTAAACAGCAGCTAACATAGTTAACTAATAAAATGGGATTTCTCTGATAAGGCAACAAAACAGAATTGTTTTGTCAGGGATTTTCTTCACATTTCTTCAGTTTTCAACAGTTACTACATAGTCAGAACCATGTTTATGAAACTTTTTTTCATTGAAAGAAAACCAGTTATAATAACATCTTGAAGTTTGTCAGACAATTTGTGGGACTGCCTAAATACAGGAAGATTGAAAAGTCACTCACATCAAACTAAAAGTTGTTATAAATTGTATTGCAGTTAATATAATTATATCTCCCAATTTTCTTTGAAAGAACAGTGAACAATCCAGTGTACCAAGACATTACACAGTTTATTGCACTTCTTGAAGTTGATGAACATGAGTGTTGGTTGCAGCAAGACAGTGCCACATCTCACACATCTAATGAAACGATGCAGTTGTTGCGCGAGTTTTTTGGTGACCGTCTCATTTCGAAAGGATTGTGGCCCCCACATTCACCCAATCTGTCACCCACAAATGTTTTCATTTGGGGGTACCTCAAAGAAACTGTCTATAAAAACAATCCGCATACACTGAATGACCTCAAGAGGAACCTCACGATGGCGATTAACAGCATCAGTTTATAGGTGCTTGACAAAGTGGCCTCAAACATGGTAAAAAGAACTCACACATGCATTGCTGAACAAGGAAGCCATTTCGAGCATATGGTGTAAAGATTGATTTTGAATTTCTAAGATGTAAGGTTATAAACATTAATAGCAAGTGCTGTATGTCTTGTAGTTAGTGCATTAAACCAGCAAAATATAATTGCTTAGTGTGATGTGCGCGACTTCTCAATCTCCCTGTATAACATAATTTGTATTGAAATCTATAGACTGGCATCAGTGGTAATCTGTTGACTGCCAGTTGAAGATGTTGAAAAAGACCTTGCAATTTAATTTGTTGATAGGCTCATCTCTCACCACACTCACTTCCGCAGCACTTAAGCAATATGACATTCCATTCGAGATTCCGCCAGCCAAAGTTGCCCGGCAGGCCGGGAATTCATGGTGTGACTCGAATATGCTCACAATTCAAGATGGAGAATGTCTGTAAACCTGGAAGTACTCTGTTATGGGATTTATTACAGGATGACAAAATAGTGAGTACTGATAGGGTGATCTTGCTAGAGATGAAGACATAATTGTTATGGACATGCAGAGAGTTAAGATTTAAAATTGTTTGTGAACTCATTTTGTTTTCCTATAAAGATTGAGGAAATTCTACAACTAGAAGTAGGGAGATATTATATTTATTATTAGCTATTTGTCTGTAATAGAGACTTTCATGAGTGTTTAGCATATTTCCCTGACTGTGAGATGAGATTATTTGGCTTCATTTCCATTAAATCTAGATAGTTGTGCAGTACTCAAATTATAAGAAAAATGTGTAAAATAATAATTATAATTTAGTAGTATCTGGGGAAATAGGTATCTAGCAGGTGTGGCATACCATATTAGTGTGACGATGATGACGACTTGCCATTTTGAAGGGGGTTAAATGCAGTTGTACTTAGAATTTAGTAATAATTATGATTTCCTTTTTCATTTGTGAACTGTTTAGTGTTTTGAGTGAAGAGTACCACCTTCTAGGATGTAGTGCTTTGAGGACTAGCAGAACTTCAGGAATGTTTTGGGGAACATAACTGCAGTGCTTGCTGCTTGTTTTTCTTAGTTTTTAACTGTGAAGATGGAGGCAGAATATTTTTCCAGATTTTTGTAAACTACCAGACTGCACATTGCCACATTGCAGAAGATAATGTGTTGCATTTATTTTCAAAACCTTCAACTAATTTGTGTATAAATTTTCAAGCAGAATTCTGAACCCTTTATGCAGTTGTGGTTGAATTGCCAGGTACACATTGCTCTGTAAATTGGCAAAAAGGTGTGTGTAGTGGTGTAATTCCATGTTAACAATGAAAAAGGTGTAATGATTCTGTTTTCTCAGGCTCAGCTTGGTGAAGGACTGGCATTGGAAGCTGAAAAGGCTCTCTGTAATCTATTGTGTTTTAATACAGAAAGATTGATTAGAATGAAATTTATAGAAGGATGCCTTGAAAACTTAGCTAATAATTGGTGAGTATTCTGACTTCTTGTTTTGCCATTTGTGTGGAAATTTACTCACTGTCTGGTAGCAGAACCTGAAATTTGATCACAAGGATATGATCCTCAGAAAATGCTGGAACACGCACATAGAAGCACTATACAAACAGACCACCACAAAGTACATTTGCATAGCAACAATAAGGAAATATGAAGGTCGTTGGGACCCAAGTAACCAAACAGCAAGATTTTAGATGAATTGAAACAGATACTGTTTGCTTTTTAACACATCTTTTTTTAAACATACCAATCTTTTAAACCATTATAAATTGAAGTATTTACTTTGAAGTGTTTGTCGCCTTCTGATAATGGCGCTGCTAACCAAAACATATAAAGTTTTGTTCTTCTTATCAGTTGTTCCACTTGATGGAACTTATTCTTTATTAATATGCCATGAAGTGTAATGGTTCAAGAAATATCTCTTATAAAAATATGCCTTATTGTAATTTACATTTTTCTGTCACATATTTTTTTATCCATCAAAGTAAAAGCATTATATTGCAGTCGTGATCAGTGCATGGCACATGTGCCTTGTGTGACACTTTGTGGCCCTAAAAGTGGGACGTGAATATTTCTCCAGCCGAACCAAATTTATTTTCTTCTGAAGAGTTCTGTCTTCTGGGATGTAACAATGCATAGTCCATTGAAAGTCAGCAGATGTTTTGAAGGAATAAGTCGACTCAGCCTCTAACAGGAATGAGTACTGGGAATATTCTTGGAATGTTCTGGTGGGTAAAGGGCAGCCGGTATGTAAGGCTAACAACCTGTGAGCCGACTGTGTAGAAAATATGGGAACCTCAACATCTCACAACCCTATGGATTTCCACGGCCTGTTACAGGGATACCTTTTCTTTTACTTTACTTTACTTAATTTAATTAAATATCTGAGCACTATCAGTATGTGCATCCATATCATAAGGGAAGTCAGCCTTATCAGAACAAGCATAAATGTGGGGCATCACATCCTGCTGCAGGACATCAGTGTGCTGACCAAATTAATTATGCAGGGACTGCATCATTGGTGATGCACTAAAGACAGATTTCAGTCCTCACAACATGAATGGAGTAGAGGGTTCTCCCTGGTCATGGAAGCCTCTCATTCATGTCCTGAAGGAATGGAAGAAGGCTCTTTCTTGGGCCAAGTTTTGACATGTCTTTCCTCTGCCTGTGGTCTTGAAAAGGGCTTTTGTTATTCTCCCTCCCGTTACCTTGTAAAGGGCTCTTCATTGTCCTTCTTTGGATGAGGAAATGGCTCTTTGTTACTCTCCTTTTGTCTGTGTTGGAGTATTTAGGGGAAATGCGTTCCTCCAGATTATTTATACATGCTGTCATAACCCAGGAGACCACATTAAGAATATTCACCACTGCGATAACTTCATCTTTTACGCTGTGCTGTTATATTGTCGTGGACTGTGAGAATAATTGAATTAGAAGTAAGGCCACTTCCTTCAAGTAACAAAATATCTTCCACAACTCTGAAGAGAGAAACATAAGAATAACAAACCAAAACAAATATCACCCTCTTTGACGAGGATGTCCTAGGATTGATTATTTACAGTTATTATCTAGAAGGATGGATGGACTGCCCAGAGTGAAAGGGGTTCTGGATGTATTGAAGACAGAACTGATTGTACAGGAAAATAAGAAGTCTGCAGACCATTATCAAGAAACTGAGTTCCAGTGGAAGTAGATGATATAAACAGAAAAGCCAGAAATATGTGATTTGAAATGTAGAAGAAGTCCAGTATCAGTGTTGTTTTGGTGGTGGCAGTTAGTGTTAGAGCCATCCACACTGCTCCAAGAGGCTAGAGCTCATCTGGAGGTCATCTTGAGCAAAATTGTGAAGTTCATCAGCTAATCATTGCTAAGGCTGACTCTGAATGTGAATTTATGAAAAGTGTAATTTTACAAATTATGTGACAGACCTTTAATTCCAAATCTGCCTCCTTGTAGTGTTGCTGTGATGGCAAGTATGTCAAGACACCTAAGAATTCCTGTGCCCATTATCATCGTGAAAGGTCGCTATGAAAAAGTGATACTACAGCGGCGGAAGTGATGATGTTGATATTGATATTGATGAGTGGGTGGCAGCAGTGATGAAAATCGTGATAACTGGAGGTGGCAACAACAGTGACAATGACCTGTTTTCAGAAAACGTTGTTGCAGGAATTATACTCGTTAATACTATCTTACTAGTAGAGATTATAATCTTTTGCCAGTAATGAGGCATTTCAGTAAAATGACCATAAAGTGCTTAGCTATGATCCAACCATTTAAATTATTATGGGGGTCCTTGAAATATCTTGTTTCTGGAAGAAATGTAGATTTTAATATAGTGTTCTTTAAGACAGTAGCTGCAAGGTAGCTCGGGGAAGATCAAGAAACAGAGTGGTCTGATATTGTTCACACATGAAAGAACAGTGTTTTATGAATTAAGGACCCACTCTTAAGCAAGAAGTGAGCCATTTTATTATGAAGCTGGAAGAATGAAGTGACATCCAAATGTGGAAAATGATTCTTATTCGTCAGATATGTCAGGCATTACATAACAAAAATAGTTATTGAAAGGTTGCAATGTTTATAAAGGTAAAGGTGTCCCATTGCATAATTAATTAATTAAGCAATTAATTTTTTTTTCTTGACACTACAGCCCCAGTGGGCCTAGGCGTACCTCCATGAACTCCATTCACTTCGGTTTTTCTAGATCTTACACATTTGGTAGGACTCCTTGGACGGGTGATCAGCTCGTCGCAAGGCCTCTACCTGTACACAAACACAGAAAAACGCACACACACAAACTAAACATCCATGCCCTGAGTGGTATTCGAACCCACGATCCCGGTTTCCGAGCGAGCGAGGAATGTACATGCCTTAGACCGCTCAGCTACCGTGACCGGCAAGCAATTAATTACTGCACAGTAAAGATGTATGTGGGAATGGATTAATAAATCAGAAAATAATGAATAAGAACTGTTAAAATAGAAAATAATTTTAATTAGTAAACCACTTACTTCATTATGGTTGTGTAATTTGTTTCAGTCCGATGATATGCTGAAGTGTTAGGTATATGTGGTGGATCAATTATTTTTAAGTTAACAGTGGACCAAACAGAACACTTCCACCTCCAACTTTTTGTTTGAAACCCACAACATTGCCCTGCCAGCAGTTCTTTCATCCATAGACATTAGCCAGCATTTGCATCTGCTTTCTGTAACAGTTAACACAGAAGTGCTCCCTAATTTCTTGCAGGTCTGTTGTTGTTTCTTTAAGACTGTTACCAAAGCTGTTTTCGTCATTTCAACAATTTCGTGGGATGGACACACATCAAATTACAACATGGGCTGAAAGAGAACATAATATGATGCAGTGTTTCTTTAATAATCTGAAGGTTTATACAAAGGAGGGATTAAAGAGCAATCTTTACTCTCATCAGACTGAAATACAAGTGCGATTGCAATTTTTAACCTCTTTATTCTCTCCTGTTGGTTCGCCAGAGGGTTTTCGGTAAGACCATTTTTAATCTTTTTCTGGTATACGAGGCAAGAATAGTAATTACTTTTGAACTAATTTTCATGAAACTTGCTATGAAAATTATTTCACATCAATGAGACACCAACATGGTGTTTAATATCTTATCATCAGTGACATCAATATGGTTGACAGACGTATGAGCAGAACTGGCTCCACGTAATGTAGATACCTATAATTTTGGCTGGAAATAGATTTTTTGAGAAATATGCAGCTCTTTTTTAAAAAGAAGGAATGTTGTATATAGCTCCATAATATTGACATTAGCATTTATTTTCATGGTGATATGATTTTGTTTGTATTGTGTCTTATAAATACACATATGAAATCTATATGAAACATTGTTTAATTTTTAACACTTTGAGACACACAAAACTTCAAAGTTTTAGGCGACATTTAATATAGCTGAAATCTGCTAATGGAAATTGTTCATGGAAATGGCTTGCAGTGGTACTGCCATTTAATGTTCCTTGATGTAGGGTTTTCCTCATTTAATATTCATTTTCATTGAACCCAGTTCATCATTATGTTAAATTTCCTACGTTTAAGCATTTCCTTAGTACTGAAGCTGTAAATTGTACAAGTGTTAATTTATGTTCTCTGCTTGTCATAAGTTATGTCCAGAACTTTTGTCACCACACATTAGTTCACTTATATTGCAGTACTTACCAAGTTTCCTGATGCAACTGACATGTCTCTCAGCAGGGGGACAGATCAGGTACCCCCGGAAAATGCAGAATTGAAGGAGACAGGAAATATACCTAAAATTAAAATTGTATAACAAAACTATTCTTCTGTCCTGAATACAATGGGTGATCCATAAAAGATCTTAAACTCCTTAACTGAAAGTTTGTAAGCAAATTTTCTGGGTGCCCTTCCACCTTGCCACATTTTCAACAAATTTTTGGCAGTGACCATGCTGACTGATGTTTGAAGTGAGTGAAGAAAATATAGTGAAATAAGTTTGTTTTAATTATATATCTGCTTAAAGTATTTATGCTTTTTTCAGCCTTAGCATAGATCAGGTGGATACACTGTGGTCATGTCTAGCTACAGATAGCCAGTGTAGTGATGAGTTATTCAGTTGGCTTCTCAACCAGGCAAAGAGTAAAGACCAGCATGCATTAGGCATGGATGCATTGAAGCATTTATACATGAAGAAATTGCCATCTCTAGAACCAGAGACTATCAGCATGACAGGACTTGGATTATTCCAGCAGCTGTGTAATTTGGCACGTCTTGCCGCAGCTCATCTTGATAATCCTGTCAAAGATGTGGATATTGTGGGCATGAATCACCTCTGGAGGATTGCACTTCGAGTTAATAATACAGGTAGTTAAGTTCATAGAATTAAATTTGTAGTGTTTTATTTATTTTTACTATTGTTATCATCATCATCATCCCCCCTTTAAAATGAATTGAAGTGTGTTCTACAACTGACATATTATAATCAGTATACAGTGCAGTGATAACAATGAAATATTATTCAGCCTTATCATCTCATCAACTGGTAGTGCTATTTCTTTGTTAAATCAGGGCTATAAAATAATGCTAGTGGTGTAATGTAAACTGATTTATATTTTTGACCTCTTGGCAAAATTCTAATTTTTTTGGGTGCAAATTTCAACCTTATTTTTTTTTATTTGCTAGTGGGGTGGAACTAAGTCCCTTGTACTGCGGCCACTTCTGGCCTATTGTACCAGCCCCGGATGATAGGCGAGGGTGATTGTGGAGCAATTGGTGGAATGAAGATTGGCAGGGGAAACCGAAGTACTCGGAGAAAACCTGCCCCAGCGCCACTTTGTCCACCACAAATCCCACTTGACCAGACCCGGGATCAAACCCGGCCCCAACTGACCGTCAGTCACAATGTGACTGTGACTTTGACTTGAGTTAAGAATGTGGGGAGCTGTTGTCATGGGTTAGCTGGAGGAGTTTGCCAGCCAGCGACAACAGGAGTTGTGGAATGTGGAAGCTGAGAACTCTACATTGTTAAGAGCTGTTACCAAGCAATGTCTAGCAAAGATGAACTGAGAAGACTTAGTGCATCCTATAGTGAATGGTAAAATGTGTGAACTAGTGATTGTGCCATACTTCTTTGTAGTTATGAGTTTCAAGGGTGCAGTAAATCCAATTACCAATCCAAACTCCATGTCTGTTCACAAAATAATACAATATGTAGCCCATAAAAAAGCATGGATTACACTGGCCATTTTTGGTCACTCTTTAAGGGCACTGGATGCCAAAACACAGAGATGTTAGTTATTTTTATTGACCAGTGTGCTGCTGATAACCAAGACGCAAGTTACCCAAAGAATGTGAAAGTTGTATTCCCCCCTCCCAAACTGCACAAGCATTCTGCAGTCACTTGACCTGGGATAATCAGGTCATTCAGACATTATTGTCTGAAGAAACATTTCTGTGACTGATGACAAATTGCTTCATGACGCACCACTCTTCAAGGTCATTGCAGAGCCACGGTGCTGTGTCACATATAAGATAATAGTGAACTGTTTTCAAAACTGTGGATCCAGTTTAAATCAAAGCAGTGGTGTAGAAGATGCAACAGAGCTTAGCATAGCTGAAGATGACTGGAGTCAGCTGAAAGCAGGTGCATTATTTCATGAATATGTATCTTGTGATAATGATGTGAGGTACAGACCTCAGAACAAGTGATAGGTGAAAAGTTTACGTCTGAGGAGGAAGTCAAAGTTGAAACTCCAGCGGTATTATTGTCAGCACTAGAGAGCATGGACACTGTGACTAGATTACATTTTTAAATCATTGCAATTAACTAGACTGCATTTTAATGTAACAGGGTATTAGTTTAGTGTATTTGATGTCAATAGCTGAATAAATTTCCATTTCCTTGTTATTGCTTTCCTCTTCTATTGTTCACTCTTCATGATGACAAATGATTCACAACCAGAAATTGAAGTAAAACTCTTATTGGATTAGCTTTCAGCAGATTCCTGAAGCAGCACCGACATGGCATATGGAACTTAAGCTCACTTACGAGCATAATGAATCATACCCAGGCAATAAAATAGAACTTTTTGCCAGTTTATTTCACGTAGATTCAAAAACCAGCGCTAACATAGTGATTTAATGAGCAAGTGGATCTTGCAGTCAGTTAATAGCTTGCATCATGAGTTGTTCGTCACTGCGCAGGCTTGGCGATGGTAGCAAAAATGGCCCTACTATGCTGGCATGACCTTGAAGCCATATAGCAGTAAATGTACACAAGACAGTGGTGGAGACAGGAAATTATAACTGAAAATCCATTTTTGCCCCCTGGTTTTGAGTGAAAGTACCTAAAACGACAGCAGCAGGCCCAGTTTATGCTCAGTTTCAATACATGATTGAAGAATTGGGTAAGAAAGCAGAAATGTATATCCCAGGAAAATTTTACATTTTTCATATGGATGGTTTGGTGGGACTGATAAAAATATGCATAGAATTAAAGAAGATATAGATTCAAGAAATGTAAAATCCAGGTTTTACTGTACTAAATGGCAAAGAACATACTTTGAAGATCTGTGTATGTACTGCATTGGAATACACCTTTGTACAGTTGTCTTGTCTTGTGCTGCAGAAACTAGTGTGATAATGTTATGTGTAAAGAAGAACTTTAATTTGACAGAATTAGCTACCCTTTTCTCCTTCCCCTGTTTTTGAAAGGTTACAGGCTAAAACAAAACTATTCAACATAGAAATTGAGTATTTTGTAGTAAGGCCATGTACTAAATGTACATTTATGCCCTGTGACAGATGTGAGCATGGCAGCAATCCAGTATCTCAACAGCTACTATGTGGGGAGGCAATTGGATCACGAATCAGAGTTCGTTTCTCAGTGTATGGCTCATTTGGCTGCTTCTACAGCTGACCTTGCAGAGTCTGAAGAGTCAAGTCTCCTCTGTATTCAGAGGGCCCTTTTATTGCTCAAAACCCATTTGGAAACATTTAGGAAAAGGTATGTGACCGACTGACAGTACATTTCTAATTTCAAGTTAGTCATCATGTTTGACTGAATTTATTGTATGCATTTCAGCAACATTACAGATTAAACTCTTGTCCTGTTTTTGCCGCACCACTTTATTGGATTCCTCTGCCATCTTCCACACTTTATTTTGTTTTAAAACAATTTCAGGATTTAGTTATCTGGCATCCTTTCCAGTTGTTCTAGCCAGGTCCTTTGATAGTTTTTAGCCTACTTTCCTTATTTTGAAAAAAAAAAATGTAGGCTTATGCGATCTCTGTGTTGTGTGTGTCTATGTATCCACACCTATCANGAATTAAAGAAGATATAGATTCAAGAAATGTAAAATCCAGGTTTTACTGTACTAAATGGCAAAGAACATACTTTGAAGATCTGTGTATGTACTGCATTGGAATACACCTTTGTACAGTTGTCTTGTCTTGTGCTGCAGAAACTAGTGTGATAATGTTATGTGTAAAGAAGAACTTTAATTTGACAGAATTAGCTACCCTTTTCTCCTTCCCCTGTTTTTGAAAGGTTACAGGCTAAAACAAAACTATTCAACATAGAAATTGAGTATTTTGTAGTAAGGCCATGTACTAAATGTACATTTATGCCCTGTGACAGATGTGAGCATGGCAGCAATCCAGTATCTCAACAGCTACTATGTGGGGAGGCAATTGGATCACGAATCAGAGTTCGTTTCTCAGTGTATGGCTCATTTGGCTGCTTCTACAGCTGACCTTGCAGAGTCTGAAGAGTCAAGTCTCCTCTGTATTCAGAGGGCCCTTTTATTGCTCAAAACCCATTTGGAAACATTTAGGAAAAGGTATGTGACCGACTGACAGTACATTTCTAATTTCAAGTTAGTCATCATGTTTGACTGAATTTATTGTATGCATTTCAGCAACATTACAGATTAAACTCTTGTCCTGTTTTTGCTGCACCACTTTATTGGATTCCTCTGCCATCTTCCACACTTCATTTTATGTTTTAAAACAATTTCAAGATTTAGTTATCTGGCATCCTTTCCAGTTGTCCTAGCCAGGTCCTTTGATAGTTTTTAGCCTACTTTCCTTATTTTGAAAAAAAAAATGTAGGCTTATGCGATCTCTGTGTTGTGTGTGTCTATGTATCCACACCTATCAACTTTTGAATGGCTGAACTAGTCTGTGACACTTGGTATGTATACCATGGCATGTGAGCCCATCTCAACAGTGTACTTCATAACTCCCTCCCATTCAGTCTGTGTGTCTATATGTGTAGCCTACTATTGTTGGTAGCTGATAGTAAAAATGGTACCATGGCAACTAATACACACGCAACAATAGAATAATTGTTGGACGTATGATCACCTATGTTGTCTGTTTCACATCGAATGAAAGTAGGCTATTAATTCTTCCCAGAACCTCTTGTGTTATCATCTAAATAGTATTTAAAAATTCAGCTTCCACCTCACAGAAAACATACTGGACCTTGATTACAAAGACCAATCTGTTAATTGTGGAAGTAATCACTGTTTATTTTGAGAATTGTACAAAACATATAACAATATTTGCAGAGTTCTTAAATGTTAAGCAGGTTATGCATTTAGTTATCACTGGGCTTTAATTGGTTGTAAGTTATTCCCAGTTTTCTTCCTTGCCATCTTTACATTTATGATCTGTAATTCAGTATCTTATGACTGCTCTGAGAAAATGCATTTCTGCTGTCTTCATACATCTCATTCTATTTGTTTTTCCATATAAAAGCTAGGTGTGAGCTTTATGATTTCTAAAATGAACTGTTGGCAAGAAACCTAATCATTAGATTAAAGTTTGTTTTCCTAGATTTCTAAATATTGTTAGACATTATATTTTATATTGTGGCTTAATATCTGCAGTGCTATTTTTTATGATATTTTATGCACAAACCTGCCTAGTTATGTTAGGCCCTTTCCTTTAGAATGAAAATGAATAAATAAATAAATAAGAAAATATCACATTTACCTGGAGAGACAGACTGATATAATGAAGTGTTCTTGGGTGATCAGCTGTTTGAATATGAAGTTAGTATCAAATGTCCTAGAGACTGTCTGCCTCTTCAGAGGTTGATGTGATGTGTTGCATGGTCACCTGTTGTATTTAAACCCACAGAGTATGCTCTCAGCTACCCCAACACAAATAGCTGAAGGAACAATGAGCAGAGTGATGTAACCAATCGTCCAAGAAGACTTCATTGCATACAGTTGCTACAGAAGCTGTGAACCATATACAGCATGTAAATAAATATATGTTACCATGTTCTGAGGTAGATAGATGGGTTCAGTCTGATCATGTTTTGTTAATACACCAATGTCCAGAAACGCTTCCTTTTGACACTAAGGGTCACAGAAGTTTCTGAGAGGATGCATAGGTTCTAGGGGATGTTATCGTTGTTTTACATTATAAAAGTTGCTCAAAATGGCAGTCGCCGATTTCATTGCATGTTCTTCACCACCTGGCTATGTTATGCTGAACGCTGAAAGATTCCTGGCATTTCCCGGATGGTTCCAGCAGCTACTGCAATTCTTGCCACAAGATAACGTTGTGTCTCCACTGGAGTCTCGTACACTAGGCTTTGCATGTAACCCCAGAGAAAAAAATCCACTGGAGTCAAGTCAAGATGAGCAAGGGGGCCAGGTTATTGGGCCTCCATGTCCAATTCATCTGTGCCAAAGTTTTCATCCAAATACTCACAGACAGCATTAGTGCAGTGTGCTGGGACACCATCATGTTGGAACCACATTTCACAACGGACTTCCAAAGGCACCATTTCCAGTAGCTCGGGTAAGGTCTCTTGGAGAAATGTTTAGTAAATGTCACTAGTAAGCCACAGAGGTCACAGGCCCTAGCATGTAAACAAAACGTTTCCCGATATTGGTATATTAACAAAATATGATCAGATTGACAGGAGAGATGGTTTAAGAAACCAAAAAGTAATACAGCAAGGTGAATTTTATTGTTTCAATTTTCTTGTCTGAAGGTATGCATATCATTTACGAAGATGGGCGTTGGAAGGACAAGGAGTAGCCAGCCATGTACAGTTGATGATAGGAGATCGAGGTTGTGTGCCTCTACGTGTGGTGATCCAACCTGCTGGCATGGTTGAGAAAGGAACACTTGAGCTTATCAGCAGTGATTATGTCGCAGACTTGCGTGCAGAAGTAGCCAAATGGTGGGAAACATTGCAAGCGAAGTGCGCCAATGAGAAATGTAGCTCTGCTTCTGCAGGCAGCACTCCTGTCTTGGGGTCCCTCCTTACTGAGGGCCCCATTAGAATGATCACGCAGGGGCAGGAACTCACAACAGAATTTGATGAGAAGACACTGCAGGAAATGGGCTTCAAGGATCTTCAGGTTTGTGGGTTTTTGTTCAATCCTGATTTAATCTGTTTCTGTGCCTTATACAGTAAGGTGTGATAAAATTAAATCTTCCCTGCTATGTATAATATAAAGGGAAAGCTGTCCCTGTAACAGGCTGTGAAGGCCCATAGGTTTCCGAGATGTCGAGGCTGCCACATTTTCTACACAGTTGGCTCACAGATGGACATGAGGTTGTCAGCCTTACTCTGTGGTTGCCCTCTACTCCCAGGAAAATACCTGTACATTACAGCTACTTAAAGAATATAGAAGACGTTTCTTTTGATTTTTGCAGATGGTATTTATATCAGTGGGAGCTTCTAGACAGCAGAAGAAGCGCGATTCTCTGGATACTCCATCTGTCCTGCCACCGCCTCCACGTGAAAGTTTGCCGACATTGCTGCTTCTTCAGCCTCAGTATTTTGAGCAGCTTTTCTGTCTGATGCAGACATTGAGTTCAATGAAGACTCCTGTGAAGGGTGGAGTAAGTGTACTCTCAGGGTTTTGGTATCATCTCCTGTTTCCAGTAAGAATTTGGTTACTCTTTAATGTTGACATTTGCATTTAGGTTCATAATTTAGATTTGTAATGAAGGTATCATAGAAAATTTATATCAGTCATCTCCTTTGGTTGTATTGCAGTAGCTCTATCATATTGTCGTTCGTACTGGGCTGTATGCCATAACTGAAGCAGTTAGTCCTGGGCTTACAACCATGATGACTCAGATTTGATCCCGGGTCAGGTCATGTGGGGTTAATGGTGGACAGTGTGCCACTTGTGTGGGTTTTCTCTGGGTACTGTAGTTGTCCCTGCCATTTCTGATTCCACCAACAGCTCCACATTAATTATTCATCCTATCATCTGATGCTGTTTAGTAGTATTGACAGGGTTATTAAATAACAAACCAAACATTCATGGAGTGCAATATTTTAATCTTGAATGAATGTTATATGTATTGAACCACATTAACTTCTTTGTATTTTCAATAAAACGTATGAAATCACCAGAATCCATCACTATTTGGCATAACTGCATCTTCAACAGCAGAAGGAGAAACACGTGAACAGAAGCAAGTTCCATTACAGATGTATTATATGAAAGCCCTTCAGACTAGTCAGAAATTGTTTGTCCTTATATCCCTTTCAGTATTCACCTCTTTGAAAAATGGTCTAAAAGAAATATGTAGATCTTAATGAGGTGTATACAGGTACGTTGTGTCATGTAAAAAGTTCTTGTGCATTTTACCATTTCGTGGAACTGAGCCCTTCTTGAGAAGCCTCCAGTTGTGCAACTACTTAAGAACTTCCCAGCATTTTATGGAACACTAAACTTCATCACCGTGTTCACAAGAGCCCTCCACTGATCCCTATCCTGAGCCAGATTGATCCAGTCCACACTACCTCATCCTGTCTCTCTAAGATTGTCCTCAAACCTATATCTTGGTCTTCCTAAGAGTATCTTTCCTTTTGGCCTTCCTATCAATATTCTCTATGAATTCCTCTTCTCCCCCATTCACGCTACATGCCCCACCCATCTCATCATCCTTGACTTGATCATTCTATTTTTATTTGGCAAAGAGTACAAGTTATGAAGCTCACCATTATGCAGTTTTCTCATCTCCTGTCACTTCATCTCTCTTCGGTCCAAATATCCTCCTCAGCATCCTGTTCTGAAACACCCTCAGTCTGTTTCTCCCTTAATTTGTTAGACTTATATGAGCACAAATTAAAAATTCTGAAAAAAAAATTATTCTAGACTCCCTGTATGAAATTTAATTGAAATCCAGGAAGTCTTTTAGGGATAACAGATGCAGCTAGGAAAACATACAGATACCGCTTCTGAATTTTGTGTAAATTTATGCAGTTTATGCAAAGAATGCATGAAAATTATTAACAGGAATATGTGAAACATTTGGAAAGAATGCCTGGAAACCAAATCCCAGAACAATTTTATTAATACAAACCGTTGGGGGGAGAATAAAGTTTGAGGTTTTTATATAAGTGAAGATTCATATTATGGCCTTTTGGGTTATGAAACCATGTAGCGTGGTAAGTGGATACCAGTGTGTAAATTGCTGGTACCTTTGTATCAAACTGAGTGGTGTAGTGGCCCAGAACACCACAGTGTGAATCAACAGCTAGAAGTTGTTAGGGACATTAAATTAAAAGCTAGCTGGAACAGTTTTATTCCTTGTAGCCAGCAACGGACAAGAGCTAAAGATGCGTTGAGGATGTTAATACTGGGAAAGTATATAGAAGACAGGAAGAGTGACCACTTGGCCTCTAATAGTCCCTAGTAGTAAAGAGATGGCATGCGGTAAGACAGTTCAAACACCGTCTTACATGTAAGAGCATGTTGCAGTTACTGATATAATTTTTGTATTGTTTCAGCATCAGATACCTCACACTAAAGCCCAGGTTTTATCGCGACGTGTTTGGGATATTCTGACACTACTGCCTACCAGTCCCATTCTGCTACAAGGATTCCAGCAACTTGAGAGCTCAGAAAACATCTCACTGCAGCAACTTCTGGATCCTGCTAGCCCTCAGAAGCTTATGTACTCTTTGTACATCGTGGAGTCCCTTAGCCGGCCCAGTGCCTCAGTCAAAAAGAATAAATCTTCTGTAAGTGTAATGAAGTTTATGAACATATACTAAGATGTTCAGTGCTATTAGCAGATATTGGTCCTTAATTCTGAAAAAATATTTTGAACGAAATTTTGTAAATGGAATGTAAAGAAAAAAATAATATGGGTATCAGAAGACAGGTATCAAATAGTGGGTTTACGACTATAATTTTCTGCCTTATTTTGCATATTTTTGAACCCCCAAATATGTGAGGGGAATTATGTTAATTTTATTGTTAATCTATAATAAAAGCAGTTTCTTGGTCCCACATAGGAACACCATGTACTCATGTACTGCTGCTGTCTCTACAAAAAGACACCCATTAATAAAACTAAATACATAATTTAAAAAACAGAATTTTTATTACAAATACTATGTTTCTAGACAATATCTATCACCCAGTCTTTATCTAAAAACATCGTCCTGTTTATTTTTGTTTTTAGATAAAGACAGGACAATGGATAATGTCCTGAAACATAGTATTTGTACTAATATACCATCGTCACAGAAGCCATGGTTGCGTCAAGTTGGCATTGATGCTCTGAGAGGAAGTGAAAGATGAATGTTTAATTGATAAACTAAAAAGAATGCACTTTACATACCTATAGCTAGGCATGCAATTTTGTCCACCGCTTGTAGAGAACCAGATATAACTTCATTCATTGTCACTTTCTTCAGAAATTGACCATGTTGACTCATCTTTTGTCCCACCCAGTGCATTGAAATTCTGGTTTTCTTGAAACTGTTGTTGATCATTTTTCAAGAATGAGTCCCCAAGCCAGATGAAGGATTTACAAATTATTTTGAAGAGTGGTTTCATAATTTCCCTTGTCAGTATCGAATTGTGTGGTCCTGCTGCCATCCATTCTAAGTAGAACCTTTGCTCATAATCTTTAAACAGCTTCTGACTTTGGAGCTTTTTTGCCATCTATGTGCAATGTAAAGTAAAAAGAAAAGTAAAGGTATTCCTATGACAGGCCGTGGAGGCCCATAAGGTTCTGAGATGAGGGTCCCACATTTTCTAGACAATCGGCTCACAGATGGGAGCAAGGTTTCAGCCCTAGTGGCCTCCGTAGTCTAGAGGTAACGTTCCCACCTCATGACCCGTGGTACGCGGGTTCAAATACCCGCACAAAAAATTTGTGATGCACTATGTATGTATAAATCTGATATTAACATCTGCTTATTCAGAAGCATTTGAATGTTTTGCCAAGTAGGAAATAATTTTCTGCTTGAAACATGAAATCTGTTTAATGTATGAGCATTAGATTAATTTTCTCAGGTGAATAACCATGGGACAGCAGACAGTCCCAACTGTGACAGAAGTAAGGAGATGCCATCAGCTGGGAGTTGGAGCGAGATGTTCATACAGCAGGGTGGCCTGAGGCATCTGTTCGATATATTCATGTCAGGTACTTCCTACATACCAGTTAATTTTCTTCTTGCCCTTTTCATTTATCCGCTTAGCTTTAATCTTGAATCTTAATGTCAATACAGTAAACCTTCACCCAACATGGCAGTTAAGTCCCATGAGAACTGCACATTAGATGAATCACACTGAACACAATATCTTATGCATTAACCTTTAACGTACGGACTTTTAAATTTCCGGGAGCCCTCTGCGGCCAGAATTTAAATCGCCCTAATTCTTTAACATTGCAGACTTAAAAAAAATACAAATTTGCCTTCACAGTATAGTGCTTAGGTAAGCACCGGGACATCTTTGCCTTTACCATACGTATCATATCCTCATTCAGTAATGCCAATAGGACAAAGAATTCTACTTAAGCATATCTGCCTGTGTTTGGCAAACTGGCTAAATGAAACTATCATAAGGATACAATGATTGACTTTTTAAACATTATCCATCATTCTGTTTATTTAAAACAATGTTTCCAGTCCAGAGATTGGGACTAGCTCTGTCCGTTCGGCCTAGCTGTGCAGGCTTTTTCCCAGATGTTGGAGACAGTCCAGTTTCCAAAACATTTTAAATAGAAAGTGGATAATGTCCAGAAAATTTGATCATTATGTTAATATGCCATTGTCAAGCACTGTTCATAATTACAAACAGTAATGAACAGACTGATGAATGAAGTAAACATAAAGAGGTTGTTTGTGACTGCCAATGCCTTAAACTCTTAAAATGAAAATATTTTGGTATTTTGATTTCATAATCTAGAAGCAATATGATTATTGTGCCATAATGCAATGAATAAGATAATGACAATCTGTGCATTAGGTCTAATGGTTATGTATTGTAACTTGGACACTGGGTCCTTGTTTCTGGTGCTGGAATTTGCCATGTGAAAGTAAAGTTGATATGAAGTAAGAAGGGCTTTTACCCCATGTACTCCACTTTTGGTATCTAAATGGAAATGGATTTTAAGAACAGTATGTTCCTATGGAATTAATTTTCATATAGTATGTTAGAAACCCACTGATGTTTCAGAGGGATCGTAGCAGATTTATACACGGCGTTATACCAAGAAGAACGTACTCTTTGTGATCAGTGATGTGGGAACCTGAAATCAAACAGATACAAGTTTATTCATGATGAATGGTTTGCAGGTGTGTTGCAGAGGTCAGGCGGTGATGGCAGTGAGTGGCAGCAAGACTGTTTGGCATGTTTGCTGAAACTGCTCTGCCAGCTGGGTGTATCTTCAGAGGATGGAAATATTTTACATGATGTTCCTGACAACCTGCGCAACAAAAGGGCTGGACAGTTTCACAAAGGAAGCTCTGATAAACTGGTTATACCCAAATTGAATGAGGTGCACGAAGAAACTTTTGTTTCTATTTAGAAATATCTTGAAACCTGTTTTAAGTTATATTTTCCAAAATAAAGAATTAGTCATGTCTTACAAAGTATGCTGTCAACTGTGTGTGCTCCAATGACTTTTGAACATACAAGATGCTTTTCATGGAACTTGTATTGTGAAACCATATGTTGCCACATTGCAAAATTTTCAAGCCTTTGTTTACACAAATTCTAACATGTCAGTAATGCAGACTTTAGATGATTATCTTCAGGACATTAATTTTTGTTTGGGTAATTAGAACATATCCAGTTTTCCTTGTTTCAGGCAATGATGCAGATGATGAATGTTGACTCTGTGATGTCACGATTAACAAGCATTCTTTATGAAGCATCTCTCCCAAGAGACCCAAACCATTACAAAACAGGATTCTGGGGTAGAGCTCAGGTGTGATATTAGTTGCTGAAATTTTCTTTTTTATTACTATTTGTAATGTGAACCTTCAGTTAAATTAAGCTTTCTGCTTTTTTGAGTCTACGCATGTCTGTAATTTCTGTATCTTTCCTAGGTTGTCATCGTAGACTTCTTATGTTTTCTCTAATTTTTAGTTGTATGCTGAAGTATTGTGACATGTATACCCATTGCTAGGCAGTGACTTGGTAAACACATACCCGCGGTGGCAGTAGAGAGGTTGTTTTCTATGTGGTCCATACCACGATCATTTCTATGCAGTGGTGTGGTGAACATGCCTAAAACAATTCAGAACAGTGTTTCCATGGGGTCTGTGCAAAGTGGTTATAAAGAGGAATTCATTTGAGCAGCATAGAGTGAAGAGTTGAGTTTTGGGATGCCAGCCTGCCAGAATATGAGCTTGGGAGCAGAGGAATTGAATTGAGTTGAGTCTCCAGTATTAGCAGCTGCAGGATAATGGCAAGAAAGGAACTGGACTATGACAAGAAGACTCCATGTGTGATTTGAAGTGGCAGTGAGACTGCTATAAATCCTTTGCCTGGGTGAGACTAGTGAAGACTCAGAACCATAGTGCATGTGCAGCAGTGAATTGTGAGTGTGTAGATCAGTGATAGTCATGTACAGGTATTGCCCGTAGTTCAAAGTACTGTGTGTAAGGTTTCAATAAATCCAGTCTTCCAGTCCAGAACCCATCTTACAAGTCATGCAACAAATCCATACACATGACAGTGTATTATGTGGAGCTCTTTGCAATGGCAAGGGACTGTCTAATAGGGTTTTGTGAAAGGCTGTCTCTCACAGTGTGTCTTGTATTATCCATCTTCAGATGTCCAAAATTGGTGATCCCACCCCCTATCAGCCTCAGAGCTGTTGCTGCAGTGAGCAGTGTATTGCAGAGTTAGTATCCATTCAAGAAATGTGTTTGGGGAAGTAAATTAATAAGATCCCCATGTTTTTATTGTAAATGGCAATCCCCTCATCTCTAAATCTCTCCACTCNCCCCCCCCCCCCCCAAGTTTTGTCATAAAACAATTTCTTTTTTGTCCGTCATTCCAGATACTTCAGGAAGTATTTCAACTTATAATCCACTTGTATATATGGCCCTTATTCATTTTGGAGACAAAACCAGAGTACGAATAAATAATTTGAATGTTTATACTTCTTTTTATAGGTCGTACATTATGCCATGGCATTGCTTGTGTCATGGGTACATTCAGATAATCAGGTTAGACAGGCTCTGTTTGCTGCTCCCCATTTCTCAACTTGGCTTCAACGATTGGTGCTAGAAGATCCAGAACCAGCTGTGCGCCGTGAAGTGTGCACTGCGCTGTATCGTCTCTGCCTTGGTTCTTCTTCCTCTCCAGTTCCTGCAGCTAACACCAGTCTCAATGTCACTGCGCACATGCTGGGACACCTCATGGAATACTTGGTTGTTGCAGAGAGCATGAGGCCACAGAAACTAGAGGTGAGCATTGCACAAATACACAGCCTGTGTTTATTGAGAACAAGTTCATGAGTTGAGACAGGGTTAATTGTTTCTTAGTTTACTATCTATCTGTCTGTCTGTCCATGGCTCTGCAGCTCTTTGTTGGACCTATCACAGGGCTGCTAATTACACACAGAATAAACACACACAGACATCCATGCCTTAAGTGGGATTTGAACCCACGATCCCAGCATCAAGCGAGTGAAGACATGCCTTAGACTGCTCGGCAGTCAAGTTACGTTAACTATGTGTACTACAACTGGCCTCGCCTGTAAGTAGCCTTCTTTCACTACCACAGCCGTATGCCCAAAGCAGAGTTAACTACGTTCAAAAACATACCTGCCTACAAATAGAATACAAGTAGGACAGTTGACTTTACAACTGCCAATTTGTAACTTTAGTTTCTCAAGTGTAACAGTCATTTCAGAGCAGAACCGATGACTCTTGCCTAAAAATATGGAGCCAGTTGAAGAAAAACACAACCTTGTTGTGCATTACCAAAAATACATTTCATTTACCATATCCATGCACAGCAAGGACTGTTCCCAACCGGTAGCAACTGTACATGCCAAAACACAATTTAGTATTTTGGGCAAAACCATGGTTCATGCCCTCTGGCCAAATAAGGGAGCGCTATGGTGTGGTAACATTTTTTTTTTTTTTTTTACTTTGGCCGCTCTTCCAGCCCATTCAGGTCCTGGCCTCTTATTCAATTCTCTAATCATTTTTCGCAGACAGTAGGACTCCTTGGATGAGTGATCAGCCTGTCACAAGGCCACTACCTAAAGACAGGACAACACAAACCCAGAATAAACTCACACACACCAAACATCCATGCCTTAAATGGGATTCACACCCATGATCCCAGTGTCCGAGCAAGTGAAGACAGTTCATGCCTTAGACCAGCATGGTGTGGTAACATTACCATCCATAATCACCAGAGCTGGAGGATAGGAATAGGATTGGATAGGATAAATCAAGCATGTCTGACATCTGCATAGGGGAGATGGAAGAGCCTGGCATCATACTGTATTATAGATGGCAAGCAAAAATGACTGAGCTGTTGGAGCTGGCCCTGAGTTGACAAGCAGACCAATGGAACAGCTCATAAGACCAGTGTGCATCACCAGATCCTAGTGGCCTACGTAATGTGCCTGAGTCAGTTGTCAGAAGCCACTGGGAATGGGAAAATTTTGCTTCATATTCGTTTGAAAGACATCTAAAGCGTATGGTGCTTAGAATAACATTTGAGAACATCCATCCTTCACTTTAACCATGACAACAGGCACATGTAATATTTGTTTGAAAGCCTATGCAGCCATTCATTTTAAAAATATGTTTATTCTGTTAGTTTTCTAGAAGGGATATAATTCATTTTATAAACATTTTGAAGCATACCCTCATAAAATGTTTTCCCACTTAAGAAGTTTATATTTTGTGATTCCTTGGGACTGTATGTGAATATACATATATGTATTGGTTCCCAAGAACTGCATGATACCAAAGGGTTCCTGAACAGTATAACTATGTGTATTTGTTTTTAGTTAAGTTCTATGAAATTGAAGATAGATATTGCCAGATGTGTCATATCCGTATTGTAATGATGTGGAATCAGGTATCATGGTAGTGATACATGGTGAGTGCATCTGTACTGCAGTATAAATTAAGCCAATCATACCGAAGGCTTTGTATCATAACTGGAAAGTGTAATGCAAATAAAGTATGTTTTAATTACTGTAATTTCAGGCTCTCCACCATCCCTCAGAGGATGGTAAGGAACCATATGGTCCTGCTTGCCGAGATTATTTTTGGCTGCTGTGTCGCCTAGTGGATAGCCTTAGTGGCAATCTTGTTAAAGGTTATGTCATAAAAACAGTTAATTTATCATATAAATGCATGTAGTAGTGATTAATAAGAAGTATTCACAACATTTGAGTTGAAAAACTTCAAGGAAACCACTTAGAAGGTGAGCATGGCTGGGTTAATAATACTGAAGTGCATTTGGGAGAAGTGGATTTGAAATGGTTTGAGTAGCTCTAGTAACTTCAGTGTTTTGTGAATGTGGATTCCTTGAAAGTGGGGAATTTTTTGATTTACTGATTCCCTGTCAACTGCTGAGGGAATATCCTGCAGTGTGTGGTCTCTTCAGAATTCTTGTCATTAGTTGTGTCAGTGATTTATAATTGAATTTCTCAACTTCAAGATCTGGATAATTTATGATGTTTAAATGCTAAGTAATTAAATCAATTAAGAAATTAATTCCGTCTTGGGAATGTATTTGGGGGTCCTAATTATGGAAGGTATCACAATTACCAAACAGTGACTTCTGTATAAAAAATTATGCGGAAAGAGCATACACTTCTTCTTCACTGACACTAGGATGACCTGGCTGACGCATGTCTGCCACATTTTGGCGTCCCTTGTTGAAGGCTTTTACCCACCTTGCCACCGTTCTGTAAGGCAATGCAGATTCCCCGCAAGCCTCTTGAAGACCTCTTGATGACACTGTCGTGCTGTACCGGCACGTTCAGTCTTTATCCAACTCCATTGTTCCTGTTTCGAAAACATTGTGACAACACTACATTAGACCGCCAGCTAACACAAGGCTCTGTTCTTGTCACTGTGCATGCTTGTGATGTGGGAACGGAGAGTCCATTTGTTCTGAGGTAGGGTAGGTATGTAACTAACGTGTGGTATAAGCGACATTATTTGGTTCCGTTGCATGGCGTCTCTACAGCAGTGTTGCCACTATTAAAGTTCCAACCATAGTATTCTCCTCAGCCCCTGTTCTCAGACACCCTCAGTCTTTGTTCCTCCTTTAAAGTCGGAGACCAAGTTTCACACCCATACAGAACCACAAGAAAAATTTGTATATTCTGATTTTTATGTTTTTAGACAGCAGACCAGAAGACAAGTGAAAGCAGTGACAGTAAATAAATTTATAATTAGCAAGGATATACATAAATTTGTAATATATCACAATTATTGAGGTCTTGCATGTTATCCATCTCCCCATTTTTTTTATTTAAAATGACGTTTCAAAGACTGCACTCTGCCTCTGTCCTTGTCTCCAGACACCAGAACCACTGCAAGGCAATAGAGTGACTGTGCAAGACAGTGTCAGCAAATCCAATCACCAATCCAGAACCCCTTATTAATAGCCATGGAACCCCAGACACATGACAATATACTGTTTGTATTTATGTATTAATAATGAAGTGTATAAGATATAGACCACACTGATATGTCTTTGCTTTTGAATAAAATAACTCTCTTACCTTACAGAAAGTATCGATGATCCTCATAATTGTGTAGTTGATGTTGATGGCTTGGCAAGGAAACTGGCAGAGTCCATCTTGGCTCGAGAATACCTTGAAACTAGGCATAATACTGTAGAAGATGAAGGACTCATTGGTTTATTAAACCTTATGTCCAATGTTATGAAACATAACCCACCATTTAAAACCAGTAGAGAAGGTCAGGAGTTCCTTGCCCAGGTAAGTTAGTTTCCCATTTCTGCATATTTAGTAAGGAACTATTTGAATTGAAAAAGCCCTTTAAATTTCTTGAAATTTCCAATTTGAAAAGACAAATTCAAATTTACAGTTTTTACTATCTAAATTCTAATCATGTCAGTGTTTGTATTTCTAGTTTTCTGTTTCTGATTGCTGGGCAACCATAATCAGTTTTCTTTGTAGTGCATGAAGTGATCACCATATATGTGGTGCCCAGCACTGAATAATTGTTGTGATGTCACATTCTTTTGCATCTTTGGTGTCTGTGGTGTGCCACAACAAGTAAGAATAATTTGCCCCTAAGACAGCACAGTCTATTTTTAATGGTACTGTATACACCAATATGGCAGACATCTGCCAAATTAAAACAGTTTAAATAAGTTATAATATTCTTTTATGTTGTTTTGTGCTTTCAGGATGATATTTACAAAGCAGCAAAGCCTTTATGCATTTGTGAAATATTTTATTGTTATTTCCAGGTGTTTGATTTCTTGTTTGCATTGCCAAATCCTCGCAAGCGTCATGTTCCAAAGTGCAAATCACAGATGTCACGCTCCTCGGCATATGATCTTCTTGTAGAAATGGTGAAGGGTTGTCCAAGTAACTACATACAACTTCATGAGAAGCTTCTTGCTCAGCACAAGCCAGGTAAATTCTTCTTACAGCAAAATACAACTGAGGTACAAGGCATTATAGTCCATTTCAGATCTTCAGCCGTGAAGATGGAGGTGATATGTTCCTATGAAATGCTGGGCTTTTTCTGAGTTGCACAGTGCTACAGCCAGACAGCCACTCTCTTTAATTATTGTCATTACTTCTGCACCTGTTTTGACCATGTTCTAATCATAAGCTAACCTGTGCTGTTGTGAAGCTTATGTCAGTATAGCATTTGCTACACTGATGCCATATCATAAGTCATAATCTTGTTATGTAGACACTTGTTACCTCTAGGCTACATGCTCAGTAGTGGATGTGATAGTAACAAGAACACAGGATATGAGAATGTTTTCCTGTAAATATACATGTTCAGTGTGGGAGGCATCTAGTTGAGTTAGAACATATATTCAGGCATGCATTTCCAGTGACACCCTTTTTCTGTGTGTCTTCATAGCACAGGATATCCTTATTCACTGGTACACAAAGGTGGACTGCATGAATGTGTTCTTGTTCATTGCAGCCCATGAACACAGAGCATAAGTTTATGCATACAGTGTTTTAGTTTGTTTTTCAGATGGTGTTAATATAATAAACTACAGTTACTTGGATACAGTAATAAACTTAAAGAAAAACATTAATGAAGGAGAAAGCTCTAGATCACATTAAGTGGAGGAACTGTTTTGGAAGAGACTGTGGACCTGTCGTCTTGACAGATTACTGATGATAATGATGAGTCTTATTCGTCAGGTCTGGGAGTAATAATTTTTCCTTTCCCTCCTTTCAGTGTTAAGACAACTGGGGCAGTAGTGTCCTGTCTGGTCTCTGCCACTCCTCCCCTCTTCTGCCTTGTTTGATTAATGGGTTTGTGGCCCTGTCAGGAATTTGCAGAACATTGTGTTTTATATATAGGCATGCTACTAGCGAAAGAAATAATTTGACTAGTTAATATGGCCAGTTTTATACACAGCTAGAACCAACAAGTAAATGTTCTTGAAGAAAGTGTGTTACCATGCGCGCTAGTATGCAGGGTACTACTAATTGTGTCAGTTAATATATATTCCTGCCTTTTCC